TCATTGTCCTAACATTCCACGCTCCGACTTGTGAAATGTTGCACCTAATACTATTGCACTTATTGATGACATCCCCCGAGGTAGTCCCCGCCCGGACATCCGAATGGGGGACTAGTTTACGTCCGCAGTAGGGGTGAGCGTTATGTAACGTAAGTAGTTTCCGAAACTGCGTACTAGCTAAATAATCGTATAACCTGTTTCGACTGTGTTGGACAAGCGGTTACGGTTATGGTTATTTTCGTTATCGGTTACTTTGAGTAAGCAGTTTAGTATCTTCGGTTTTAACGTTGTAAATAGCTTACTGTACGTTACAGTAGGTACCCATGGGTAACAATAACGTGATGCCTGGTATTATACCTATTTTGTTATTCGAAGGACACGTATTTCTTTTGTCATATCTCCGTCTTCGTTCTTCGGAGTTATGATTTTGAGTAAATAATATTTGAACAGATCAAAATCATACATACAGAGAAAAACTATTTTAAAAGATTATTTATTGTGGCCTCATATATTTTTAGTCATGAAAGAAAGTCTATGAATTCCAGATCAGATCTTGAGAAGAACTTAGTAGCAAACAACTATTACAATATTTAAAATTTTTGTAATTGTGTAGCAAAGTTGTTGAAGCTTTCTAGGAGATAATTTTCCGAGGGTACGATGTTTATTTTTAACTTAGATTTATACAACAGTTACCAAATGCAAAAATATCTTTCCGTAAAAGTGTAAAATATCAAATCGTCGATGGTAAATACATGGGTTTGTTTGCTAAATAATGCCATAAACCTACTTTCTAGGAATTGTGACCGTACCATCGTGAAATGACCTGTATTGTAAAGATACGACAGTGAGGAAAGATATAGGACAATTTAACAGTTTCCAAGTTACACNGTTTTTTCTAAAGGGATAATCTCCTGGAACTACTACACCGATTCTAAATGTCCCACGACTAATAATAAAGCTACACTATCTGTTACCGTGAGCAATTGTATGTGCAGGCTAAGATGCTATAGACAGTTTTATTCCAAAAGTACGGGAACTTGAAATAAAACTGAGTCATATCACGATGGAATGTAAAATGTATTTAAAAGCATTCCTATTACCTGCATCATTTCAGAAATAATACAGACATTGAGGCGATCAATAAATATTTAAAAACTTTTTTGGATTGTTCTCAATAAACCTTTTTTCAAAATGCTCATGAGCTCCTTTTGAATATCCAGATGAAGGTAGTTCATAAAAAATTGTCCTTTCGATTCTAATTCGACCTTTACGAAGAAAATGTCAGATCCGGAAAATAGCGTGGGTGGTTAATGACTTTGATTTCGAAGCCAAAACATTGCGAACACGGACGCATTATCATATCATGGACATGGTTCTTCTCTTTGATGCACTGTGAACGTATCTGAGCAATTCTAAGTTGTAATTAGAAGCATATGGTTCACCATTTGGCCTAATCGCATAGTGGAACGAACTCTCGGTAAATTAATCCATTCGAGTAAAACTCTTGACCTTTGCGAACGCATTTTTTGCCATAAATTTGCTTTTGAAACATGATGGTATTTCTTATAACAGCACTACCATATCTTTGAAAAAATTTCTTACATTGGGAATGAAACACCCAAAAGTTTTAAAAAAGTTTTTACATTGAAATGTAGTCGATATTGAAAATTAATGTCATGCACTACCAATAAGGATATCATCACCGTTCAAATTTGAACGGGCTCAGCTTGTTTGTCAATAATTCCACCATACCAAAATGAATGCATTAAGCATTGTTCTGAAAATACCTGGTTGGAAGCGTTACGGCGCGTCGTAACTAACGACGGCGCGTCCTGGTCGCCGTCACCGTCACCGTCCTTGCCGTCGAGCGAAGATGAGCGATGAACGTTTTCGATAAAAATAAATGGCTAATGTCAGCTTTTGAAAAGTGTGTTCCAGATAAGTTTAACGGGACAGGAGAGAAGTGAAGTGAAGGAAATTATTTGGGTTTTGCAGATTGACATATTCTGGCGGCATTAAAAGAACGAGAACACAACGAAATTTTCTTATTATAAACGTCCGTCGACGCGCGCGTCTTGAAGAGCAGCAGCGTCGCGACGGACGAGCCGCTTCTCTCTATACATTACAGTGCCTAGCGAATGTCCACGGCCCGTCTTTCAATGAGTCTTTCGAAAAGAAAAATGCTGGGTAAACTCCAAGTGATTAGTGCTGTCGATTCCGGATAAACAAACCAACGTTAGCGACTTGAAAACGGACGCCTACTGTTTGAACTGTTAACAGGAAAAAAAATGACTGGAATGAGAATTTAAATTTCAACATTGTTGTTCCATTTAATCATTTACATAATTACACATAATACAATTATTATTAACGATTTATAACTTTCAGTTTGATTTTTAATATTTTTTTTAGTCGCTAGAGATAAATTTGCTTATCATTATTCAACCTATTTTATCTTGCATTGCACTGACACATTTCCTTCCAGTGCCGTAATTAGATTTACCTGTATTTTCTTGAAAACGGTGAACGTTCGGACATACAAACATTTATTTAATTTCTTCTTTTACAGTGCTGTCCCACATGCTTTCTATTTATTTTGAAAACATCATGTGCATCAACTGTTCAATTTTTCATAATTTTAAATTCAGCGCAGTTTCGGAAGTAAAGGGTGTAGGGCTGTAAGACGTTTCTGGTGTCAATTTTGAGCAGTATTTCTAAAAATATTGCACTTCTTATTTCGAAAAAAGAATTTTTGAGTACAGAGCCTTTCAGTCATCTCCTCATCATAATAATTTTGTTTTTAATTTAGGGTTACTTACTTCTTAAAAATTTACTTATAGATATTCATGGGTACAATAGTTTTAATTGACCAAATAGAAAAATAATTTACAATAATTTTTGAATTTACACATTTAATATAGCTTCACAAAAAAAATGATTTTATAGGATTGTCACACCTGAGGATTCCATTTTTCCTTCTTTAAAGGGCCTACCGAACTGAAAAATAGTTTTTTTTCATGCAAAAATATGATTCGTCACTAAATTAATTGTGGATGTATGTACCAAAAGTGTATATATATATATACTTACCGATTAAGTATTCCTTTCCTTATGTTAGTTAATCGTGTTGTTATGCGCAAGATTGTCGAACGAAATTTACCGCTCACTTTTCGCTTGTGTACCCATTTAAAAACGGTCCCTTATCATGAGTTAACATTCGGGTACGTGTTCCATTGTTACCCCGTCTCTAATCCGAAATGAAAGGCCCGCATTTAATTTAACTGTAGCTCCGGGCGGAATATGCATGATAGCGGTGCAAATGCGGTGATGTTCTCATTCAACACTGCATATACAATATACAATTTAACGCAGTCAATAATACCTCTATTTTATCCCCTTGTGTCAATGTCTGATGACGCAAGAGTATCCTTGCACTCTTACAATTTCACTGTTTACGTTCTTCTGAAAAATTATATTGTAATGTGCGTGGGTACAACAAAATTAACTTCTTAGACTGATAACGACAAAAAAAAACTATTTATTTATTTATACTAATTATTAAAGAACTTAAAAACACTATTAAATTATTACTAAACTTAGGTTATGAATTATTCTATTTATTTACTCTACTGTTGATATATCACTAGTTACTGCGCTATTTATTTCACTTCTATCACTGTCAATTTATTTCTCGATTCATTTCTGTAACGGTCAATTTATTTCTTCTCTATCGGCGATCGTCTCTTTTGTTTACTTTCGGGAACCTTCTGGAAATATCCGGATAGTTTATTTTTTCTTTGAACTGTTTAACTGCTTTCTCAGAACGCAGGTACGACACGCACATGAAGAAAGGCGCCCGCAGCTAGTTGGCGAATCGATAAGCCGTTCATGCACACGTGTGCCCGATCGCACACAAACACGCTGGTGCTCGCTACAATATAAAACTAGTGGTTATCCGTCGCGGCTTCGCCCGTACTTGTTGCCGCTTATAAATTCAACAGCCATGATTTTGATGACATTTCTCATTCTTAAAGTTTCGTTATTTTCATAAGACACGTAACTGGACTATATATTTAAGATAGCGGTTATTGGTTGTTCCTTTGCCCGCAGTATATGTGAAAAATTGGTAAACATTCAAAATATCGCGTATTACTTAAGAGCTACGATTGTGATGAAAAAAAATCTAAGAACATAATACGCCGTTCTTAGAACAAAAATTGGCTTTTGCACCTTGATGACACATCGTTGCTTCTGCGTGAATTTTTGGCCAAAAACAACACACTAATGCTGCCACAGCCACCGTATTCTCCAGATCTGGCCCCCTGTGACTTTTTGTTGTTCCAAACTGAAGAGGTTCATGGAAGGACGACTCTACGCAACGATTGAAGAGATAAAGACGGCATCGAAGGAGGAGCTGAACAAGATCACAAATTTTTTGAAGTGCTTCGAGGATTGGAAAAAACGTTGGCACAACTGTATAATATCTGGTGGCGATTACTTTGAAGGGAACAAAATAGATATCCATGAATAAATAATTTTTGAAAAAACACAAAATTCGCAATGCGTTTTGGATAGACCTCGTACATTTAGTGGAAGAGTTGATTGGTTTCCGGTTTTAGGTTGAAAATCATTTGGGACTATAATGATTAACAGTTTCAGCGGATTTTTGGTGCTACGGTTTATTCAAAAGATTTTGAGAGTTCGATTAGTATAGGACTGTTTGCAGATAAGCAGGAAATATTTTCACATAGACGTAGATAAAAAAATATATTCCATGCGTTCACCAAATCGACCTAATAGTTTCGGCTGTGCGTTGATTATTAATTTATCAATTAGTAACTCAGCCAGCCCAAGCGTCGTTGCATTATAGAAGTTTAGGTAACTCGAACTTTGCTAAATTCAATCTTAGGAAGTTCTATTACAGGTCGTTGTGTATTAGGTGATTCAGTATTTCTTTATACTTAGTTCTTTAATATAGTAATAATTCTTTTCTTTTTCAGGTTTCCGTGTCCAACGCCTACGTGACCCTAATAAGAGGTCAATAACGAGGTCGCAAGGCTCTGTCACAGTGAAACGGTAAGAGTTAGTCAGTTATGTTTTCAAGTTATACGTTATTGTGGCGTAAATATTGTCTGGTGAATTTTTGATCTGGCGGTTTCTAAAAATGGCTTAACTTGCAAATTCCAAAATGGTATGTTTTGTCGTTTACAAACTAGACTATCCAAACCTTTTGGGAAAAATCATTCCTTTGGACATGGCTTTTGATGAGTTATCATTACAAATTGGTTAGTCCAAAAATTGGTTAGACACGCACCTGTTATGGGAGATTTTGAAGTAAAACCACTTGGACGTTTTTTTAATATTATATTGAACACTTATTACATAAAACTTATTTGAATTATCAACTGTCGAACTATAACTGCTACAATAATACTCCTTTCAACAACTGGTCGTGGGTTTTTATTATGTCGATTGATGACTTAGATTTTTGATTACAATTATAGGAAAAATTCATTGTTTGTTGTTCACAAGAGAAATGGACTAAACGGATGTTAGTTATTTACAAATTAATTATTGATCATTTTGGTAATGACATTATCTTACGACAATAGTAAATATTACTTGTGTACTTTAATGAAACTTTCTTCGGAAATATTTAGAATAGATTAAGAAAGAACTACATAATAATTACGAATGAAATACGCAATTATCTGTGGTAACAAGCCAAAACTTGACATACAGAGTGTACATAACATGATAGTACATTACACACCTCAGTTTTAACGTTCCACGTCTCTAATTGCGAAAAGTAGACGGTGGGCGCGGTGGAAAAGAAAATGTTAGAAGCGTTCGAAGGTGTTGTAGCAGAATGATGAGGATGCCGTGGATAGAAAAGGTTAAAAATGAAGAGGTATTAGAAAGAGTATGAAAGTAGATATTGGAAACAGGCGAAATAGGTTGGTAGGACACCTTCTCATGCATAAAGGGCTAGTTATACACACTAGAAGGTGAAGTAGGAGTCAGGGGCGGATCTTGAATTTGTGGGGCCCTGGGCTAATACTGCTTAGGGGCCCTACCTAATTACCCAACCAATTGCCATTTTGTCAAAAAACAGTTTTCTGTAGTGATGTAGATATATATAATATATGTTATTAAGTACAGGAAGAAAATAGGACAACCGTAATATTTTATTTATTTATTAAAACATTATTTATTGCAAAATAAATTGACAGGCTATGAATGGTAATGATATATAAATTATAAAGTAACCTTTCTGCATTTTTTTGCTGCAAATTCCTTTATTTGGTCATCGCACTGTAAGTCCTTTGTTAAATCGCAATTTATGAAAAGAACTGTTAAATGATTTAGTAGATAGTTCAACATTGTTGTCCTGTATTTGTATTCTATATACGACATCCTGGAGAAAGAGTGCTCCGCTTCACAGCTAACAAAATCTTTAAGATGGTATAGCAGTTTGGGAAAACATCAACAAATTTCTTTTCATAAATTACCCAATAAAATTCACCGCAAAAGGTGCAAGACAATTTTAACTGAATGCACTCATTCACTAAATGTAACTAACAAAATTGCGTCGGGCGATAAGCGGAGGGAAGTCCCCAGTAATAGACAATACACGGAATACACCGACCGAAAACAAGCGACGGGGAATTCCCCGTTCCGTTTGATAGATGCGCACACGGGTTGATTGATCGCAGTGTTGCCAATCTTATGATCGGATTTTTTTTAATTCTAGATAATTTTTATTATTGACAATATCGTCTATTGTTTTCAGTTCAGGTTGGGGGCCCTCTGTATCCACGGGGCCCTAGGCCGCAGCCCAAAAAGCCTTTAAGTAGATCCGCCCCTGGCAGGAGTTAAGTGGATTAGGGGTAGACCTAGATTAGATTACTGTTCACAAATAGTTAAGGATGTGAGATGTTCTAGTTTCGGGGAAATGCGAAGATTAACTCAGGATAGAGTGGAGGTGCGTGTCCAACTAGTCATTGTATTGACGATATGATTTTAGGTATTCTGCACATTTTCGTTTTCTGTTCTCTCCTACATATTGGTACATATTGGACTGATCCAAAATAATAATCTATTTCATTTTTTCCGTGACTGAAATCACTCAATCCCGTTAGACGTTTTTTAGACATTTCGTCCTGCATTAATAATTTCCGTTTAAAAAAGAAATACTTTTCTTAGTAGCTAAATTTGAACAGACAAGCTTTAAGGTTGATGTTGCAGAAAGAGCACATAGAGTACTGCAGATGAACTGAGACACTAACGTAGTAATTTCTGCGCAGCAAATTGCATTGCAAATAGGGTTTGGTATTAGTGCACAGTGTTTAGATAAGGGCTGCCGAAGGGGCGTCTGGTGTTTATTTAGAGTTCGGAGAATTAACCATGCGACAACCGTCGACGTCTGTCTGCCTGATGGTGGTGGGTGCTCTTTGTTTTCGTCTCTCATTCGCCTCAAACCGATCTCCTCGACTTACGGTGGATAAAACCCTTTAATTCTCCCATCCGAGCGCGGCCACCGAAACGACGTTTCTTACTTATTGTTAGTCACTTCATTACCTTTGAATTAAATCCATACTTATTAGGTCAGGAGTGGACGAACAATTACTAAAAATACCATACATGAATAAACGAAGACTCTGCAATAAATGATCTTAGTTGTATATAATCAGTGTGGTTCATCCTACAGTTGCACAACAATGGAATGTCAGTTGTCACTTCAGTATAATTAATTGTAATAAAAAAATTAAAAAACAAAAATACTGGTATGCAAGGGAAGAAAAAGTAGGGAAAGATCGAATATAAAGATAGGAGACGAAAGATTAGAAGAAGTGACTGATTTTAGGTATCTAAGAAGTCAGGACGGAAGGAGGAGTAGTAGGGCTATAAAGCAGAGGAATGCTCGTGAACGATTAATTTATAAATTCGAAAATGTATGTTTGGAACGTGGCGCTGTACGGGTGCGAAACATAGACAGTGGACGTGGCAGAAAAAAAAGGTTAGAAGCGATCGAAATGTGATGTTATAGACGAATGATGAAGATACAATGGATAGAGAAGGTTAGAAATGAAGAGATATTAGAAAGTGTAGGAGAACAGAGGACTGTATGGAAGTTAAGAAAAAATAGGCGAGATTGGTTAGTAGGACACCTTCTCAGGCATTAAAGTCTAGTCATAGACACATTAGAGGCAGAAACAGGAGTTAAGAGGAGTAGAGGTAGACCTAAATTAGATTACTGTTCGCAAATAGTTAAGGATGTGGGATGTTCTAGTTTTAAGGAAATACGAAGATTAGCTCAGGATAGGAAAGAGTGGAGTTGCGTGTCCAACCAGTCTTAGGACTTACGACCTTATGATTATGATAATGAAAATTAAATAAGGTATTTGATTCTATTGATGATATTTATTGATATTTTTGAAGGGGCTTTTAGAAGTTTGTTGGATCCTGATAAACTTTTTAATAGACTTTGTAATACAGATGAGGGCTCGTAAATCCCTCTCTCTTTCTTTCTCTCTTCGGGAAATGTTAATAGAAATTTTAACAGAAATTGACCTCCTTAAAGAGATTACGAAAATAAAGAAAGCGTGATGGTATTTCTTATAACAGCACTACCATATCTTTGAAAAAATTTCTTACATTTAAACATAGTCCATAGAAGTTACAAGTGTTCTCTAATAATGAAACAGAAATTACATTTGTTATTCAGTATTTTTGACATATTATTGAGGTTGTACTCTTATTTATTCTTATAGTCTTATTTATTTTATCTATTTACTATACTTATTATGTATAAATTTTACATTACAGTCAAACCTCGATAATCCGAACTGATTATTGTAAAGGATTGTTCGGATTATCAAACATCAGTAGTCGTTTGTTATATAAGAACAAAGGCTTTCACGGCCGGAATCCATAGCAGAATGAAGATTCGGGCTATAGGACGGTGTTCTACGTGTACTATTCCGTCCAGACGTTTCGTCAACTACTGTGGCTGACATCCTCAGCGGTAGTGCTGCGTTGACAACGTGACAGTCGCTGTCGAGACTTCGAGATATAATCTACGTTCACGTTGTCAATGCATTACTACCACTAAGGATGTGAGCCGCAGGAGCTGACGAAACGTCTGGACAGGACAGTTCACTTAGACCATGGCCTCTTCATTCTACTATAGTTGTTTGTTGTATTAGACCGTATCAGGCGTTTTGATCCCCCGACAAAATGTCCCCGGACAAAATATCCCTGACAAAATATCCAAAATAAATAATATTTTGTCCGGTGATATTATGTCGGGGGATGAAAAATCATGGAACCATATTAGACATGACATGAACATTATTTTTTAAACAAATCTGGAATATAGAAAGTTCTTGATTGTATTGATTATCATATTTTGTCTTTCTGATATAGTAATTTTTTTCTATTTTCGAGGTCGAGGTTGTATTTTCTCGAATCTTTTATCTTTTCTCTTATCAATTTCTTCGCCAGTGTTGCTGCTTCTACTTGTTGTACAGCTGCTTCCACTTCTCGAAGTCGAATTTATTAAGATTGCCAATAAATACTAAAAAAGTTCGCATCCCTATTCCGGATGAAACATCTTTTATAAGGCGAAAAACCACCCCTAAAATGTTTTAATGGTGTTTTCTTCATTTATCAAGAAATGTCTCCGTTGGGAAAATGTCATCAATGCAAACATGTTCTTCATACAATTTTACATAACAATAATTGTATGTTATATTGCTTCTCTATCTGACTAAAAAATTCTGTGTGACTCGTCCTACGTGACGTCACCAAGCTGCGCCTCATCCCGTAGCACCTCGTAATTTTATTGAACTAATTTTAAATATCGATTTCTGACGCTTTTATTGGGATTAGTCTGTATTAATTTTTTGCGATTAGTTAATTGAAATCGACTATTTCACTAATCGAATTTTTTAATTAACAAAGTAGGGAAAGATCGAATATAAAGATAGGAGACGAAAGGTTAGAAGAAGNTGCTTCCACTTCTCGAAGTCGAATTTATTAAGATTGCCAATAAATACTAAAAAAGTTCCCATCCCTATTCCGGATGAAACATCTTTTATAAGGCGAAAAACCACCCCTAAAATGTTTTAATGGTGTTTTCTTCATTTATCAAGAAATGGCTCCGTCGGGAAAATGTCATCAATGCAAACATATGTTCTTCATACAATTTTACATAACAATAATTGTATGTTATATTGCTTCTCTATCTGACTAAAAAATTCTGTGTGACTCGTCCTACGTGACGTCACCAA